TGATTAACAAACAATTTCTCATCAGAAATCATAGGGGCAAGAGGCAGTGAGATGACATATTTAAAGGAATGAATGAAAAAAATGCCAATCAAGAATTCTTTATTTTGTATAACTATTTTTTCAAAATGAAGAAGAAATTAAACATTCCCATATAAATAAAAGCTGAGGGAGTTTGTCATCTGTAGATCAGCTGTACAAGAGAAGCCAAAGTAAGTCATTCAAGCTGAATTGTGAGGAGACTAGAAAGTAACTCAAAGCCATATGAGGACATAAAGAACACTGACAAAGGTAACTACATAGAAAAATATAAAGCCAACAGTATTTCATATTCGGTTCATAACTCCTCCTTTTGTTTCCTATATGATTTAAAAGACAAAGGTATAAAAGAAAAACTATGAATCTATGTTAATAGGCACGTAATATATAAAAATGAAATTTGTGACATAAAACATAAAGGAGGAGGGATGGAGCTTATAGGAGCACAGTTTTTTGTATACTATAGAACCTAAGTTGATATTACATTTAAATTAATTAATTAAAAATTTATAGATTGCTATAAATTTATAGATTGCTATAAATTTAAGGTGTTTATGAAATCCCAAAGATAAACACTAAGAAAATAACTAAAATATATATAGAAAAAGAAATGAGAAGGGAATCAAAATGGTACACTAGAAAAAAAAATCAATTAAACACAAAAGCTGGCAGTAACGGAGTAAAAGAGGAACAAAACAGATGCATAAGACATATAAAAAATAAATAGCAAAATGGCAGAAGTCCTTGCATATCAGTAATACTTTAAAGGTAAATAGATTAAACTCTCCAATTAAAAAGTTGAGAGTGGCACAATGGATATAAAAACATGATCTAATTATATGCTGTATACATGAGACTCACTTTAGATCCAAAGACACATATAAGTTGAAAGGGAAAGGATGGAAAAAGATATCAAATACTAACCAAAGAGAACTGGGGTGTCTACACTAATATCAGACAAAATAAACTTTTAAGGAAAAATTGGTACAAGAGACACAAGTCAAGATAGGCGGACTTTGAACTCACCTCTTCCCACAGACACAGCTGATTTACAACTACTGTTGGAAAAATTACCCGAGAGAGAACTGAAAACTGGACAAGAGGAACCCCTGTGACAAATGACAATCCCAATTGAGGTGGAAGAGGCAGAAATTCCCATCTGGAGAGAAAAAATGCCACCTTCACAAGCTGCAATGCTTCATGGCCACCCAGAAGAAACACAAAGGTACGCAGCATTCCCTGGAGGAACGAGGGACCTGAGCCAGGGAGCGCTCATACTATAGGCATACTTTGGACCCAGCACAACTGAGACGAGTGGCATAATATGTGACTTTGCTCACTACTAACAACATTGGGGAGTACCCTCAGAAAAGCTGGTCCACAAAGAAATTAAAGCTGGCTCTTAAAGGGCCCACACACAAATTCACCCATTTCAGAAAGCAACCTAAAATCACCAGAAAGAGGGGTGCACAGTCCTTTGGTGAAAAGAGACTCACCTAATAGGCTCTGAGTGCATCTTGATGAGAGATGAGACCTCTCCGGGGACTGGGACATTGGCAGCAGCCATTGTTGTGACCTGGCATGGGTGTGCTGACACAGATGCTGGCAGACGCCATTGGACTTCTCCCTGTGGCCTGCTAGCCCAAGGTCTGCTCCACCCGCTAGAGCACCGATTTAATCCAGCTCAGCCAGGGCAGGCAGCCCACCCTAGGCACAGGCCTCAGCAAACAACAAGCCCTCAGGCAACCTGTGAGTGTACATAGATTGGTGACTGGATTCTCCACAGCCTAGTGCGTGAGTGCACCTTTGTGTGGCAAGGCATGCAAAAGGAGTGGGTGGAGAGTGTGGGGAGTTGGTGGAGTATGTGGGGCTCCTGCCTTGGAGATACTGGGTCCACTTCAGGGGGTCAGGGCATGCACATGGGGCAAGAATGTGTTGACTGTCTGTGGAGCTATGGGTGGCGGGGCCTGTCAGCTGCAGAAGACTTGTGTTTCTCATACAGCCAGATATGGGATTAGCCGACCCTCCAAAGCCTGAAACAATTGGGTGCTCCTGTGCCTGAGGCCAGCCCCACCCAGCAGCAATCCTCAGAGAGCTGACAAGAGCCTTATAGCCCAGAGGCTTATAGCAATTGTAAGCCCCTCAGCCTAATAACCAGCCACACTAGGGGCCTACTCACTTAATAGAAAAACTACAATAAGAATGTGCTATTAGATCTTGCAGCCAAATGTGCTGGGCTCCCCACACTCAATAGAGACAGAAGGGCCCACAACAACTACATGCAGCTGAGCATTACAACCAGCTGACCAGGGGGACAGCTGAGCCTCCCTGGGCACCTATGGGAAGAGCAACCTGGACACAACAGAAGGACACACGTAGCCCACATAGAGGTCACTCCTGGAACATTTAGAACTGGTGACGAGAGGGAAGCAAACTTCCGGACCTCATAAGGCATCACTTACATAAGGTCACCTCTCCAAGATCAGGAGACGTAGCTGACCTACCTAATACACAGACACAAGCACAAGGAAATAGGCAAAATGAGGAGGCAAAAGAATACATTCCAAGTAAGAGAACAGGACAAAATGCAAGAAAAGGAAGTAAATGAAACAAAAAGGAGCAACCTACCCAACAGAGAGATCAAACAAAGAGTGTTAAAGATGCTTACTGATCTTGGGAGAAGAATGCATGAACTCAGTGAGAACATCAACAAAGAAATGGAAAATATAAAAAAGAACCAATCAGAAATGAAGAATTCAATACTGGAAATGAAAAATTCACTAGAGGGACTCAAAAGCAGAGTAGAGGATACAGAAGAATGGATCACCAAGCTGGACGAAAGACTAGAAGAAATCACCCAAGCTGAACAGAGAAAAGAAAAAAGAATTAAAAAGAGTGAGGACAGTCTAAGGGACCTCTGGGACAACATCAAGCACACTAACATCCGTGTTATAGGTGTCCCAGAAGGAGAAGAGTGAGACAAAGGGGCAGAGAATCTATTGGAAGAAATAATAGATGAAAACTTCTCTAACCTAAGGAAGGAAACAGACATTCAGGTGCAGAAGTCATAGAGAGCACCAAACAAGAGAAACCCAAAGAGGCCCACACATAATTAAAATGTCCAGAATTAAAGATAAAGAGAGAATCCTAAAAGCTGCAAGAGAAAGACAAAAAGTTACATACAAAGGAAACCCCATACGGCTATAGGCTGACTTCTCAGCAGAAAACTTAAAGTCTAGAAGAGAGTGCTACGATATATTTAAAGTGCTAAAAGGAAAAAACCTACAGCCAAGAATACTCTACTCAGCAAGCTTATCATTCAAAATGGAAGGAAATATAAAGGTTTCCCAGACAAGCAAAAATTAAAGAAGTTTGTCACCAAGAAACCAGTTCTATAAGAAATGCTAAAGGGACTTATTTGAGGGGGAAAGAGAAAATCACAAATAGGAAAATTTATCTATTTCCACGATAAGAGGGTAATGGATACAAATGCACAAAAAAGAGGTTATATGTGATATCAAAAACATAAATGTGGGAGTAGGGGAGTTAAAAAGTAGCGCTTTCAGATAGAGGTCAAAGTAAAGAGACCATCAACTTAAGATAGATTGCTATACGTAGGTAACTATATATGAACCCCGTGGTAATCACAAAGCAGAAACCTAGAATAAATACACAAAAAACTAAGAGAAAGGAACCCAAAATAAGTACATACTTATCAATATCTACTTTAAATTTCAATGGAATAAATGCTCCAATTAAAAGGCATAGGGTGGAAGATTGCATTAAAAAACAACAACCATATGTATGCTGCGTACAAGAGACACACTTCAGACCTAAAGACACTCACAAACTAAAAGTGAAGGGATGGAAAAAGATACTCCATGCAAATAGCAATGAGAAGAAATGTGGGGTAGCAATACTCATATCAGACAAAGTAGACTTTAAAATAAACACCCAATGTAGGAGCACATAAATATATAAAGCAATTATTAACACACATAAAAGGAGAAACAGACAGTAACACAATGATAGTAGGGGACTTTAACACTCCACAGACACCAATGGATAGATCATCCAAACAGAAGATCAATGAGGAAACATTGGCCTTAAATGACACACTAGAACAGATGGACCTAGGAGATATATACAGAACATTCTATCCAAAAACCGAAGAATACACATTATTTTCAAATGCACATGGAACATTCTCCAGGATTGATCACATATTAGGCCACAAAACAAGTCTCCATAAATTTAAGAAGATTGAAATAATACGAAGCATCTTTTCTGACCATAAGGGTATGAAACTAGAAATCACCTATAAGAAGAAAATCAGAAAAGCCACAAATACGTGGAGATTAAACAAAATGCTAATGAACAACAAGTGAGTCAATGAAGAAGTCAAAGGAGAAATCAAGAAATACCTGAAGACAAATGAAAATGAAAATATGACATGCCAGAATTTATGGGATACAGCAAAGGCAGTTCTAAGAGTGAAATTTATAGCAATGCAGGCCGATCTCAATAAGAAAAATCTCAAATAAACAATCTAA